AAGGCTGGAGATGGAAACGGAGCCTTTGCTCTTCGGGACTTTCTGTCAACTCAGATTGTAGGATGTAGTTCCTGCATTCTGGGAATTTGTATTCAAGCAGAGTGGATGAAGGAGAGTACGCCAGTAAGAAAAGGTACACGTTCTCACTTTGTGGGATTGCCCTCAGTGGAGGCTCCAAGAGGGAAGAGAAGGGATAGGGTGGCATCGTGTTTGCCACGTATTAAGGATGATGAGGTCTGCTCAACTAGCTCAGTCTCTCCTTTAGGGCTGAGTACATCTCCCAGTGGACATGACCGTAGATTAGTGTTGCTTAATCAGGGGTGATTTGGGCCAGCATAGGGATATTTGATAATGTCTGGAGTTGCTTTGGGTTGTTAAACTGGTGGTGGGGGGGAAGGTGCTACAGGCGTCTAGTGGGGAGAGGCTTGGGATACAAGGTGCAGTATATACCCCTACAATCATGAATTGTCCAGCCTCTAACGTGCTAAGGTCAAGAAACTCTGCCTTATGGGTAGGTCATGGCTGGGCAGGATTGTACTTGTGTAAGCTTGCTTTGTGGAGGAGACCAACCTAGATCCCAGAAGATGGTTCTGTACCTGTTTATCCATAGCCTCACTCAGGACTCTGTGAAAATAACAATACCTTGTTACAAAGGTTCCTTTAATAAAAAAATCGTATTCTCAGGACTGCTTTTTTGCATGATACCTGGGTCAGGGTAAAATGGCTTTTCTTGAAATAATAAGTAAAAATGCATTGGTCTTCCTCTCCCCACCCCAATCCCCGACTATCTTTAAAGTTAACCAATGGCTTAAAGTTAATAAATCTTTCTTTAATCTTAATTTGCCAAGGACAACATTAAGAGCAAAACAGCTAAAGTATCTGAAAATCTCAGCATATTTTTGTGATTGTTTCCATTTTTAAGACAGTGTATATTCTAGGAAGATGTGTTTTTCATCTTTCTGTCTGTAGCTTCAGTGTAAAAATACACTTTTCTTTAGAAAAGCCTTAACTCTGTAAATGCAACTAAACGAGGTCAAAAAATGAAAGACTAACTCCTGAGAACTGAGCCCTCTTTGGTGTAGGTTTATAGAAATAGCTACATGAATACATCTTGTGTTTGATTTCATGGAGTAATACTTAATTGGGACAAGGGATAGAAAGAAATCTCCATCTATTTTATTGAACAGAAAGTACAGAAAATGCACCAGGAGCAAGATAGCTAATTGGTCCCATTACGTTTTCACCTAGAAAACAACATCACAGAAAACACTAGTCACTACCACAAAACCAGAGCTTCTCTGCTTTTTTTTTTTTTTTTAATTCTTTCCTTTCTGCATAAAACTAGAAATTCATTACAGGTTGGCAGCTTGAAGATAGGCATGTTTTGTATTTTCCTAAGTCAGGGAGGCATGGGGCTTTCTAAAGAATTTTATTTCAAAAATAGAAGTGACAAGACACTTTCTCATTTCGAGTATATTACGGTATTTGTAACAGGATAAAATAGATACCTCCTACAAACTTATTTTCCTATGGAGACAAGGCTCAGTTAAGTGGGCAGATGTTCTCAAGAGTTATTTTAATAAAATCCTACTTCTGGGTCCTTTGTCTCAGCTCAAAGCCCAGCTCAGTAGGCACTCTACACTTGAACTTCTGGGTTTTCTGATCACCTTATTCACTGGTGGGTGAACCCCTCGGTTGGTTCTCACCTTCACTGTGAGTTCTTTTGTCAGTCTTTTTTTTTTTTTTTTAAGATTATTTATTTATTTATTTGACAGACAGAGATCACAAGTAGGCAGAGAGGCAGGCAGAGAGAGAGGAAGGGAAGCAGTCTCCGTGCTGAGCAGAGAGCCCGATGCGGGGCTCGATCCCAGGACCCTGGGATCACGACCTGAGCCGAAGGCAGAGGCTTTAACCCACTGAGCCACCCAGGCGCCCCTCTTTTGTCAGTCTTTAATGCATGAAGGAATTTGAAACTTTTATTGTGGCTACTAAGGGTGATACCCATTAAGACTTTCTTTTCTGAAAGAACGTTTGCTGTTAAGTTAGTCTCTGACATTTGGAGGGCCCATCTTTCAATGTATTCCTCACTCAAATATGAAAATGAGGTTTTTTTGGCAAATGGAAATATTTTAAACTTCAAGACATGTTGCTCTTTTAAGGAATCTGTTGTGAATCTGTCTTCAGAAAAATCATCCCATATTTTCCAGTTAAATGAAAGAAAACTGGTAAATAATTTCATGAGAGTTTGATCATATATGCTTTCTTCTTTTGTTTAAATAAATTGAAAGCCTTAAACAAAATACTATGAAGATCTTTTCTTCTGTAGTTAAGAATTGGCAGTTTTTAGTGATGAATGCCTGTGTCTCTCTTTTATCCCCCCCTCAAGCTCCTTTTCTGGATTTGGCATTCAGAATGATCTCGGGACCCCATGAGGCTAGGAAGAAAGTACTAGCATTTCTCTTGCTGGGACGTTGACACAGAATGGATCAGATGATGTCCTCTGTAGGGAATTTAGTCCCAGATTTCTCACCTTACACCTCAAGTGGTCTCTTTCAGACTCCTTTCTGTCCCAAACTGTTTACCATCCCCTGCTAGACTAGCTCGCCCAGGCACACAGTTCTCCCTGCCTTATTGTACCCCCTTGTCCAGAAACTTTCCATGGCTCCCTACCGCTTGGGGATTCAAGTCTAACCTGGAATGGGCATTGAGAACTGCTGAAGGTTGCTTCTCAGACTACCTTGCTCATCTGGGTCTTCTGGCTTCCATGTCGGCCACTCCCTGTCCCCTTCACTGGGGCAGGTGACCCCTCAGCTCCCTGGGCTTCTGTGGAATCCTCCATGTTGCCGTGGGCAGTGTCAGGAGTCCATAGGTGCCCACTGTTGAGTGGCAGAGAAGCTGCCTGAGGGAACTGTTTTAAAGATTAAAAAAAAAAAAGTATTTTAAATTCAGCTGTAACTCTGTGTAAATATAACTAAGCTCTGTCAACATTTATATAACTTTTGCAGTCCTGCAGATGGAATTTTACATTGAAGGTTGGGAACCATCTCTTACTTATCTTTGTATCTACTTGGGATCGGCCTGAGGTATTCAGAAGATAATGAAGGACTGGTCAGCACTTTGAATCTGGTCAAACTCTATGTAGCATATGTTAATCTAAACTATTTTTATACATTGTGGTACAACAGGAAGCCTTGTAGGGGCAGAGGAAGAAGTCTAGAATCTAGTACCTCCTCCCTCCGTTTACTCACTTGGTGGAAAGCTCTCGTTTTTATTTCTGGCCATCTGCCTCCTCTTCCTGCTTCTGAAGGTTGTTGAGATAATCAAAAGAGGAACAGTATGTAAAAGGAAAATAACAAAAAGCTTTGAAAATAACAAAGCTCCGTCCAGCATTGCGGTGGGATTGTTGTGATACCAGTGACTGAAAAGAATACAGCTTTCTCAGACTTCGCCCCTCGGTCTCCATCCATCCACTCAAGTTCAGTGGCACCCTGACAGAATAAGTAACCCATTTAGCTATATTCCTTTCTCAGTGTTGACACCTTTTGCCTTAAATAGCTTATGATCCTTCTAGGTCATGATTCTGCCTAATTGAGGTGTTACTGGTTTTGATCAGATAGTAAGCACAGTGTTTGGCCAGAATCAGGAATGGGGGGGTTCTCATGGGGAGTAGGCACAATGTCTACCCACTTGGCCTAACAGGAGCAGAGTCTTTAATGCAGGAGCTTGCTTTGTCCCCTGCCTTCGTCACTGCCTGCTATACCTCTGGTTGTTTCTCCTACAGATGGCTGGTGTGAGGGAGGGGTGTGAATTTAAAGGTCGATGAAGGGGCGCTGGTGTTAAAATGCCTCTGTCAAAGGGCCTCAGTTTTCTCTCCTCTATCAAATGTAGGAACTACATTTAGCAGGGTGCCTGACTCAAGAAAAAAATAGCTATCAGGAATTCTCAAGATTTGCTTGAAACTGAGTTTCACTTTCCAGGCCATGGTAGCTGGGGTTGAATCCTTGGGGGGTATTATTATTATTATTATTATTATTTTTAACCAAAGTGCAGTTATTTCAACAGAAAAACAGGACTCAATGCCTCTTCCCCTTAACCCATATACCCTCCCTGCAGCCCCACATCTCTGACCTACACCAGCCCACTAGCTGGGCTCACCATAAATGATGAGTCACAATCCCTTTTGTCCTTGGACTATGTGGGAATACCCAGACAAGTTGATAGTGTTTCTTTAATGTGTCTTCATCTGCCTCCCAACCCAGAGAATTTTCCGCTCCTTCATCTTAGCTGGCGGATGGCAGCAGAGATGATGGGATAAGGTGGAAAGGGAAGTCATAGGTGTGATCGCCCAAGCCTAGACTGTGGACAAGTGAGGGAGTGCCATGCTCTTCTCCTGCACCTGGTTTCTAGTTGTTGATTTCACGGGGTTACTCACCACTTGCTGGAACTTGATTTCATGGGGTTACTCACCACCACCATGGGGAGATGAACGCCTCTGTGATGGAAACGTTGATTGCTTTGTGTCTGCCCCTGGCAACAGAGGGCATCAAATGTAAGAACTTGCCCAGGTTGGCATTCACCATTGGAGCCTCCAAAATGATGACCCCAGCAATAGCTAACATTTTCTGGCAACCTAGTACCTGGCCTCTGGTTAGCCTAGATTTCGATAGGGATTAGCTTTCTCCTCTTGACCTCTGTGGTGAGGATCTGTTTTTATCCCCAATTTACAGATGAGAAAACTGAGGCCAAGAGGAGTTAAATAACTAGTCAGAAGTCATTGGGGGAAAAAAAGATACAGCCAAATTCAATCTAGACATGCTAAAGCTTGGCACCTTAGTCTTTTCTAGAGCATATGGCAGAAGGCATTCTTTAAATTTACTTAGGGTGAAATAGTTCTTATTAAACATCTTTGAAGTCAGTATATTGATCTGAATGAGCACTATGTTGTCCGTAGCTGGAGGAAGCAATGGTATCACAAACACTCTGTGGCCTTTGTCTTACAGCTTCCATCGTGATTCAGAAATGGTGGTGTCACATGAATCCTTGCTTGGAAGGAGAGGACTGTAAAGTGCTTCCAGATTACTCAGGCTGGTCCTGTAGCAGTGGCAATAAAGTCAAAACGACAAAGGCAAGTATAGACACACACAATTCTCCTTTATAGCTTCCTCGGGTTATTAACCATGCGATCCCCCCCACCACCCTTCCTTTGCTCCTGGCACCACGACCTTGACCTTGTTTTATGTCGATAAACCCACATGGACAGGGGCCTACCCTCTTACTTTAGCCTTTTGAAAAGCCCATTTCCGAGCATTGCCCTTTATGTCAGCTTTTACAGAGCAGTGATCTGGGGGATCAACTTGTTATTTTAGGCGGGGCCATGAAATTCACTGCTGCTCCTTCAAGAGCCTCATTGAAGGGGAAGGGATTGGAGTTGCCAGGCCGGCATATCAGAATGGCACGGCAAGGTCCCCCACACAGATGACTTGCTGAGGTAGGGATACTTCCTGGGAGGAGTTTTAAGAGTCGAAGACTTGAGCTTGAGGTGTCATAAGTGAAGAGCTGCCTCCCCCACTGAGCCTCTGTCCACCCAGTTCTTAAGCCAGACATCTCTCTGCCTTATGTCCCAATGTCCACTCTTATGGGTCTTTGTAACTGTACCTCCCAACTCCCTCCTTGTGTCACTGTCCTTACAACAGGGGTCCTGTCCCCACTGTCTCTCATCTGGGGAACTGAGTTGCCTCATTTTCCACACCTCCACACGATGACTCCCATCATTTTGTGAAATGGAGATCTTCTAAGCTAGTCTGTCTGTCTTGCTCCACTAGCCTTGTCTGTCTGGCACTTAACGAAGGGAGGTGGCTTGCTGGGTTATTTATTTTTTGTTGTTTCAGCCTTCTGTTGGTGCCTCTTACCATGGTGCCTTTGAGGTTGCTGAGGAAGGTGTTTTTTCATGGAATGTGCTTCCCGACTTTCTTTTCTCCTTCACTATTATTACCATTATTTCTTCACTGATTGGATTCATGTCTTATGTATCTCTGAGCATTTACTGTGGTTCTGCTTTACATGGTAGGGTGTCCTGAGGTGCTTAGCACCTAGAGCTTTCTTTTTAGAAGAGACCTGTGAGGTCAGGGCCCATGTTTGCAGTGACCTTGATAGTCCCATAGTGAAAGATGATATTTAGAACAAATGGTAACATTTTCCAGAAAGCTGTAAATATCAATTTCAGCTGACATCAAATACAAAATTATCAGTAGTACAGTAAGTCAGACAATTATTTCTGTAGCTGGTTAAATCATAATTTCAAACTCAAAACTATGTAACATTAATTGCAAACTTCTCATAATTGATGTAAAGATGATCTAGGCTACATGACGTGATGCAGGCATATCTCATTTTATCATGCTTTGCATAGACTGTTTTGTTTTTGTTTTTACAACCTGAAGGTTTGTGGCACCGCTGTATCAAGCAAGTCTACTAGCATCATTTGCATTGGCTCAGTTTGTGTTTCTGTGTCACCTTTTGGTGATTCTTGCAATATTTCAAATCTTTTCATTACTTGTTAGGGTTATCCGCAATCTTTGATGGTACCATTATAATTTTCAGGTGGCAGCCCTGTGAGATGGCAAATTTAGTCTGCACATGTGTATGTTCTGTTCCCCTATCTCTCTTCCTCTCCTGGGGCCTCTTGTTCCCTAGATACTAAAATACTGCAATTAGGCCAGCTAATAAATCTACACGCACCTCTCAGCATTCAAGTGAAAGGAAGAATCACGTTTCTCACCTTAGGTCAGAAGCTAGAAATGATTAAGCTTAGTCAGAAAACCTTGTCAAAAGTCAAGATAGACCAAAATCTAGGCCTCTCAGACCAAACAGATAGCCAAGCTGGGAACGCAAAGGAAAAGCCCACCAAGGAAATTTTAAAAAGTACTCCAGTGAACACACAAATGCAAAGAAAGGGAAACAGCCTTATTACCCATATGGAGAAAGTTTGAGTGGTCTGGATAAAAGATCACTGCAATCACAACGTTCCTTTAAACCAAAGCCTGAGCCAGAGTATGGCCCTAGGTCTCTTAAATTCTATAAAATGTACAAAAGAAAAGTTGGAAGCTAGCTGAAGTTGGTACACGAGGTTTAACAAAGCAGCTATGTCCATTACATACAAGTGCAAGGTGAAGCAACAGGTATTGATGTGGGAGATGCAGCAAGTTCTCCGGAAGTTCCAGCTAAAATAAAGAAGGTGGCCACTCCAAACAACAGATTTTCATTGTAGACAACACAGCCTCCTATGGGAAGAAGACGCCATTCGTGACTTTCATAGCTAGAGAGGAGAAGTCAATACCAGGCATCAAAGCTTCGAAGGATAGTTAGACTCTTGTCAGGGGCTAATGCACCTGGTGACCTTGGGCTGCAGACAAGCTCATTTACCATTTCAAAAATCCTAGAGTCCTTAAGAATTAGACTAAATCTACTCTGTGCTCTAGAAGTGGGACAAAGCCCAAATGTCAGTGTTATCTGTTTACTGCTTGGTTTACTGACTATTTAAACCCCACCGTTGAGAATTACTGCTTATAAAAAGATTCTTTTCCAAATATTACCGTTCAGGGACAATGGACCTTGTCACTCAAGAGCTCTGATGGAGAGGAATATTGATTAATGTGTTCATGGCTGCTAACATGACTCCTTGATCCACAGGCTGCAGAATGGATGTCATTTTGACTTTCTTATTATTTTAAAAGCGCATTTAATAAGGCTACAACTCCCCCAGATGAATCTGGGCATTCTAGAGGCCTCATTCTTAACAGGCCTTTGGAAGAAGTTGATTTTAACACTCATGGACAATGCTGAGGGGTTCAAGACTTCCGGGGAGGAAGTCACTGGGGATGTGGTGGAAATAGCAAGAAAACTGGAATTAGAAGAGGAGCCTGAACATGGGACTAATGTGCTGCACTCTCATGAGAAACATAAGAGATGACGAAGTGCTTCTTACGGACAAGCAAAAAAATGGGTTCTGGCGATGGCAGCTCCTCCTGGTGAAGATGCTCTGAAGATGGTTGACATGACAACCAAGGACTGAGACTATTACCTCCACTTAGTTGATGAGCAGCAGCAGGGCTGGAGAGGACTGGCTCCCATTTTGAAAGAAGTTCTGTGAGTAAAATGCTAGCAACAGTATGGGCTGCAAGAGAGAAAACGTTCCTGAAAGGAAGAGTCAGTCAGCACGACAGGCCAGATGGTCTTGTGAAAAGAAATGGCCACCGCCAGCCCAAGCTTCAGCCACCGCCGCTCTGATTGTCCGCAGCCATCAACATGGAGGCAAGACCCTCTACCGGAAAAAAGATTATGACTGGAGGCAAGCTCTGATGAGGGTTAGCATTTTTGTTTTCCCCACAAAGTATTTTTATATTAAGACATGTACATTTTTTTTAAGCCAAAATGTTCTTGCACACTTAACAGGACAGCACAGTGTAAACAAAACTATTATAGGCACTGGGAAACCAAAAAAATTAATTTAGCATGCCTTATTGTGATATTTGCTTTATGGCAGTACTTGCTTTACTGGGGTGGTCTGGACTCAAACCTGCAGTAGCTCTGAGGCGTGCCTGTATATGCTCTTACAGCCAGAGCTGTGGAAGTCCATGGAGTCCTCTGTTGGTGGAGGAGGGAGGTTAACACTCCCATCATTTCTATCAAGCCCATTTCTAAGCTACTCCAAATTAACTTCCAAACTATGGAAACCCAAGTGTGCTTGCTAAGCAAACCCTGCCTTAAAGTAATTCCACTCTCCTTTCCCCACGGGGCCCTTTCTGCCCCATTTTTTTCCCCCATCGCCTTCCTGAATAAAAATCTTGGAGCTGCCAATGAGCTGGGGCCTTACATCCATCAGAGATAAACATTTCCATTTATCCTATGGCTTGTAGACTAAGAAATGACGTTTGTAAGATTATACTTGTATTGATTCTTCTATATAAATATAAAACAAGACCATGAGCACAAGCCAACTGTTTTCCGGAAAAGAATGTGTCTAAGTGGTCTCTTGCTGGAGCGGCTCCCTCTCTATTTATGTGCAGTTAGAGAGCATTTGCAGGAAGCAAACCTTTAGGGGCATTTTGGCTCTGTGTGCTGGGAATATAAGTTTGCTCTAGCTAAATCCTCAACGGTAGTGACATTTCATTTGGCACTTCTAAAAGTTGTAGAAACACAATACAGTTCCCTAGGCCATAATGATACTTAGGTTTTTTCTTTCTTCTTCTTCTTCTTTTTTTTTTTTTGTGATATGCCACTTGAGAATAATCTTGAAGTAGTAAAACTTTGTTTCCTTTATTAATCCAAGTCCTTTTGACTTGAACTGCATCAAACATTTTGTCTTTTATGGATCTTAGGAACATAGAGTAAATTCAATTGTGGAGGTGTCACTGGCTTCCGGGAAGAGCCTAGTACCCTCAGAAGTCGTGTCTTTTTCTTAAAATAGACACCAACCATACACCACAAGTGCGACAGAGGTCTTACAGAGGTAAAACCATTGCAACCCTCTAGGGGGATAAACTATATAACAAAATAGTTTTCATTTTGCTTATATAATTCATGCACAGCAGCAACAAAACATAGAAATGCTTAAAAAAAAAAAAGATAATCCTGCAGTAAGCCACTTAGGTCAGAATTGTATTTTCCATTTAAATGCAAATATGAAAAGAGTAAGCAGTCAAGTCAAGATATTAACAGACTTGGAGGAAGATATGACAACAAAGAGGTCAGTTTCCTAGCCAGTCATCCTGTCTTTTCCAGATGTAAAAGGGTGGCCGTGTGAGTTCACCCTGCCTCTACAGTTTTCAGTGTTTCCAGAGAGAAATTCAGCTACTAGTTCTTGTGCAGAACTACAGCTGTCACTGTCATCCTGCCTCAGTTTCCCTTTACGTCGGCATTGTTCGTATTAAAGCTCTCAGCAACTGCACGCACTGTTCTAGTGCCAAAGTGAACCACAGGTCAGGGCTCTTTTTTGTTTGAAAATGGAAGGAAATCATAGTGAATGTCAAGAAATTTTAGATTGGTCCTGTTTTTATTTTTCCAACATCTGACAGTGAAGAGCTAGGTCTTAGGAGCAAGAGTTCTCAACCGGGGTAATTTTTCCATTAAGGGGATGTTTTTACTTGCCAAGGGAGTTATTATGGGCATCTTGCGGGGAGAGGCCAGACAGGGTGCTAAAAATCTTAAAAAGCAGAGTAGATCCCCCCACCCTATAGCAACGAATTATCTGGCTCCAAATGTAAAGAATGTTGAGGTTAAAAAAAAAAAATCTGCTTTAGAGATTTTTTTTTTTTTTGAGAGGGAGCTCTTTGCAAGCATCTTATTATATTCTCTTCATGTAGCCCTTCAAAGGTTCCACTTAGTATCTACATGTCTCTAATACTGCATAATAGAAAACCAGAGATAAGAGTTAATGTAAACAACAGGTTATCTTTGCAACACCCTCAAGATCTAAGATGACCCAGTCCTTCTGGTATCTGCCTCAGAACGTCCTCTAATTCGTAACTTTCCCCGTTTCTTAGGATACCACCAAGGATCATCCTCATTCTCTTGTGTCCCAGTATTCTAATTATTTAATGGTAACAGTCGCTGCAGGAAACTTACCGTGGGAACGTGTACCCACCCTTGTGAGCCCCACCCCTAGGATTTTCTGGTCTAATAAGTCTGAGATGGGGTTTAGTGAACCATTCTCAAGAAGTTGTTCTTAACATTGATTCTTGTTTAACCAGGCTCTCGACCTGCTCTGTTCCTGCCTTTATACTGTTTTCTGTGTTTCCAGGGTAATTTCCCTGCCCAGGTTTCTCCCTGGTGAGAGACCTCCAGTGGATTCCCACGGGTAACAGAAAAGAGTATAAGCACCTTGAAATGAGCCATCAAGATGACTCACCCAATAGAGCATGTATTTCTATATCCTATTGCTGCCTTCTTCATCTAGTCCCTTTTCTAAAATTCTCCTTGTCTTTCAAGGTCCAACTGAGATGGATCCTTTACCCAGAAGTCTTGTCGTTCCTGATCCATAGAGTTAGAGCCTCAAATATCTCCCAGTCCCCGGTCACGTGAGAGCGGAGCTAGTCTTGGCACAATAGCACCTTCCGTCTACCAGATTCCAAAGCGTCAATGAGCCTTTCATATACAGTTAGCAAAATGAAATGTTGACAGGAAAGTAAATCCTAGAGAATCTTTTTTTTTTTTTTTAAGATTTTTTTAATCTATTTACCTGACAGAGATCACAAGCAGGCAGAGACAGAGAGGAGAAAGCAGGCTTTCCGAGGAGCAGAGAGCCCGATGTGGGGCTCGATCCCAGAACCCTGGGATCAACCCAAAAGCAGAGGCTTTAACCCACTGAGCCACCCAGGCGCCCCAATCCTAGAGAATCTTACCATTAAACTTTAATAGGGATCAACTCCAAAACGAGCTGATCATGTAAAGTAAGCTTCCTTAAATAAGATGCTGTTGAGAATTATATCCTAGATACAGGCTGATACCTGGCTGGGAACGCTGTTAACTTACATATGTAGATGCACACGGCAGATCCCGGAAGAGCTAACGGGACAAGAGCCTCGCTTTCCTGAGTGTAGCTACACGCCAGAGCCCCGGGCCATGCCATTCACGTCACACTCACTCTGCATTACAGCTGAAAGGAGCAGGTGATAATCGAATGAATGTTTAGGAGTCGAAGAAGCTAAAGCAATGACAATCCTCCCCATCTCAAAAAATTACCGTCTCCATTACCGTAGTATTTGAGATCAAGACCTTGCTTGAATCCTCCTCCTCTCATGTCCTTTGTCATCTTTTTCACAAGTCCTGTGGGCCTCAACTTTCATCACTTCTACCAAAGTGTTCCCCCTTTAAGTTGACCTTCTGGCCATGCCTCCCTGGTCTCCTCTTTGTGCCTCAGTGGAGGAAAAGGCCAAAGTTCTCCTCCCAGGTACTCAGGGCTCCTCTGCCTCCTTCAAGCAGCTCCTCACATGACAATCCTCTAGAAATCCATAGAGCCCTGCCCTTCTGGCCTTAGTATCCTTTTGTCCATAGCACCTATCTCTTGCTGGCATGTCATTCTGTTGCCTGTCGGTCTAACTCTTTTTTCTACAGTCAGAGTCCCCAAGCTATGGCTTGCAAGCCACACCCAGCCCGTGGCCTATATTTTGTGGTCTGTGAGCTAAGAATGGGCTCTATGCTTTTAAAGGCTTGGAAGCCATCAACAGGAAAAAAGTGTTTCATAACATGAAAATTACATGAAATCCCAATTTCAGTGACTACAATTAGAGTTTTACTGGAACAAAACAATACCCATTAATTGACATGCTGTATTGTCTGTGTTGTCTGTGTTCCTTTTGTGCTATAAAGGCTGAATTGAGTTGTTGGGGCAGAGACTGTGGCCTGCAAAGCTGAACGAATTTCTGTGTGGTCCTTTACCTAGACTAGGGCTAGCGTACTTGTTCTATAAGCTCCATGAGGACTGTGTTTTTCTTGGGTTTGCTAGAGTAGTCTCCTCACAAACAAAAGAGCAACTGTATTGTAGAATATATAAAATAAAGGCCATATGTCAATTAACAGCAAATCTGAGGTTTGAATAAATACTTTGATTGGGTCCAAAGGCCAGGAGTGATGACTGTGTCATCAAGTAATGTATGTTCATGTTGTAGGCCTGTTAAAGTCTTAAGCTTTTGGGTTCCTACACCCCCGCTCCAGGTTGTATATGGGTTATCTAACCTGTAAAATACCGCGTACCTTACCTGACCAAATAAAATAAACTGCTAATTTATTTTCTTATAAATAATAAAAAATAGAGGAAACAGCAGTAAACTTAATTAATGTCTGTTTCTGGCAATTATGGCAGTTTTCCAAAAGAATGTATTTTGTTGTTGTTGTTGTTGTTAAAGATTTATTTATTTGAGAGAGCATGCATGCACGAGAGAGAGTTGGGGGAGAGTCAGAGGGAGAGGGAAAGAGAACTTCAAGCAGATTCCCCACTGAGCACGGAGCCTGATGTGGGGCTCGATCTCCCTGAGATCACCACCGCAACTGAACTCAGTAGTCAGACGTTCAAGCAACTGAGCCACCCAGGTGCCCCCAAAGTAACTTATTTTTAAAAAGTTAACTACATTAAAAAGGGGGGTGGGTGGTGCCTGGGTGGCTCAGTCAGTTAAGTGGATGCCTTTGGCTCCGGTCATGATCCCAGGGTCCTACCCTGCTCCGTGGGGAGCCTGTTCCTCCCTCTCCCGCTGCCCCTGCTCGTGGTCTCCCTCTCAAGTAAATAAAATCTTAAAAAAAATTTAAAAAAATATAAAAGTTAATGACATTAAAAAGTAACAAATGTAACATTTAATATCGACATACACTGATCTTAATTGGCATTCATTTGAAAAGAATTTCAGTGCCTTTAAGAAAGCATGCTCAGCAGGCCTGCGTTAACTCTCTGGGCAATGAATGTACCAAATCTGATGGGTTTTGTGTAAATCGACAAAATACCAAGCTAAGGTGCATAATACCATGTTGTGCAAGCCTGTGTGCATTTTTTTTTTTTTTTTTTTGCAACCTGGAAGCAAGAACTGTGAAGAATTTGATTTGAACAGTTGATTTGGCGAAGTTGGTTACAGATAAAGGGACAAACTGCTAAACACTGCTCGGGACTTCCAGGGCCGGTAAAGCAGAAAGACTGTCCTGGGGGGGGCGGGGATGAGATTCTGAATGCTCACTCACTTATTTAATTTGTTTTAGGTAACACGGTAGCGAAGAGAGGTGTGCTTACTCCTGGAGGAGTGACAGACAGGATGCAGAGGTCTCTTACTTGGATGACTGTCCTGGCGGGTTTGGGGGAAATCGTCTCGGATTTCTGCAATATCACATTCGCATATGTGTGCTATAAGGAGTATCATTTCCCTGACTGTCCCAGCCCTCTCCGCTTCATGAATTTATCGCATTGAATTATGGCCATGGGCTGCCATGCTATTCACACCCTGTCTGGATCCCAGGGAACATACCTCTGACAGACCCTGGAGGAACACAGCAGAGACTTCACAATGGATCTCCACTTGGCCTTCCACGTCTTTCAGCCTTCACAAAGGAACGTGGACAGGTTCACAGGGTCCTTATTCTGTTCCTCTTTTGAACTTTTCCTTTAGCCCTTGCATTAAAGTGGTTTGAAAGGCATCTCAGTACCAAAACATTTTGGCAGAACATATTTACAGATGTAGATTAATGAACTCTGATTAACTGCTGAAGAAAATTCCTTTTATAAATCTTGACGAATAGACTTATTGGGGTTATTGTGTGTGTATTTGTATTTTTTGCTTTAGAGGATTTAAATTTTTGCATTTTAGGTTCTGTTGTCAGGTTAGCAGAAATAAAATAACACTTTAACTTCTGGGCACCATTTTCCTGAGTGCTAAGGAGGTATATCTCAACTCCCATATTTTATAACCAAAGCTTGATCATGACATAGTCACAAAAGAAATTAAACCTGTTGGGATTTTTATAGCTTAGGTGTAGTCATAAAGGTAAATCATTTTAATTATTAAACAGTCTCTGTTTAGATCAAGGGTGATTTCTGAGATCCAATTTGTGTCAACTGTATTAAACTATTTTGTTAGAAGTCTTGAAATGTTGAATTTTTAGGCTGTAAATGATTTATTCTTGGCTCTTCTCTCATTTGTTAGTCATTTTATTTCTTTAAATGTAAGTAAAATCTGAGTCATTTTTTTCTGGGTTTAATGATTTTTACAGAAGACATGTGTACACATATTCTCAGATGCTGTCATGCAGAAATACATCACAGATGAAAAGTGACTGACCCAGATTTTAAATGCATAATGTCATTAAAACACACACTACTGTAATATGGGATTTTATACATTAAGAAATGCCAAAAACATTCTTTCTGCACTGTTAATTATCCCTGTCCTTTCACAATTGTGGGGGGTAGAAATATTACTATAACATTTATAGCAGTAACAATTACATCTACTTGATTTTATTGTTGCAAAAAGAATGGAAATGGGGGACATCCATTTGTGGGCTAACTTTGTTTGAATTTGACGGGTTGCTTACCAGGATTATTATTGTCCTACTAATAAGTAAAAACATTCATTCTGCTGATGGCACCTAAGTTTTTGTGATGATTTTATTGCCTTAAGACTTCATGTTAATATCCTAGGCTTGCAAATTTTAAAAGCAAACGTGGAAACTAAAACATTACATTTAATTTTGGGCATGTGAACCATATGGCAAACTTAAAACTTAAACATGTAGCATTAGAGATAATTAAATCTCCCTAGATTTTAAATTGAGGGCCATGCTTTATATACTTTATATACTCTGCTGCCTTTACTGTAGGACCCTCCATTATAAGAAAAGAGGGTTAAAAAAAAAAAAGTCCATTTTATGGTACTGGAAAGACTGTCTCAGTCTTTTGCCCATACATCTGATCTCGCACACCAAATAAGATCAAGTTAAAATGACACTGCTTCACCTTGACGTACATTTCTAGGGTGTAAGCTACTTTGGGGGAGTAAGTAAATAGTCCATGAGGAAAAATAGTGGGTATCACAACTGCCATTTCATCCGTTATTGCTTCAAAGTATACTTTTTATCAAGTTCACAAGTCTTAAAAGGGAGCTTGTCTGCAGAAGCATTTTAATGTTATCATTCCTATACTTTTCCTGGAGGGAAGTCGATAAGACAGTTTTCTGTGTATTCCAGAATTTAAAACAAAGATGCCAAGGGAGTTGTGAAGACATTAGTCGTGTCAGCATTAAGACCTCTAATTGTGGCACTTAAGATCTCACCACCTGAAGACTTTCATTTTTTTTATCTTAAAAACCTGACGCTGTCGAGTAAGGGCTGTGGACTTAGCCTAGGCCTCTCCAATGGAACCAGAAACCTCCTAGATTTCATAGCTTTCCCTCAGATCCAGATTTGTTGCTCTAAACTGTAGGGACCTCACCTATGTACATGTGGAACTCTCCTCCTGCACTAAATTCAACAGACATTGGATGAAGACCCCCAAATGGTCGACCTTTATACATACAAATCAATTTTTCTTCTCCCCCTGTTAGGTCTTTATGAATATTCCCATTTTATAGAATTTAGGACCAATAAAATTAAACTTGCCCAAACTCACCCAGTTAGTTACTACTAGAAATTATATAATGAGGAATCATGAAAAAAAGATGAGAAACTATAGATATACTTTTCCTTGAGAGCTTTTTGGATAACATGTACTAATCCTATGTCTTAGAGTGTCAGGGAAATTGGCTAGCCTTAGAATCTGGCTAGCATCTGACCTACCTGGGCCCAGCACCTGTACTCTTTGCCATGATCTTTAATGTGCCAATACACTGATGAAAAATCTCACTGCTTTCAGCTTAAGAAATCTCAGAACTCACCTCCTCCCACGGACACACAGACTCTACAACTCAATACAGAGCAGTTCTTCCTGTAGAAGAACGGAGTGCTGATTGGGTGGCTTTGGCACAATGATGATAGAGAAAGGACATAGAGGACAGGACAGAGGGAGAAATGGTATCGATGGGAACACCACCCTGATGTGATGATCTGCACTAGGGAGGGTATCACTGAGGGGTCGCCTGCCCTAGGACACAGCAAAGAAACAGCCATTTAAAGGGCAACTGCACTGTAAGTGAAGGAAAGCCATCTACTAATTCTAGAGATTCCGCCAAAAAGTGTGGAACTCTATGAACTCTCTCTGGGGTCTAAGGTGCCGCCAGGCATCACTGTTTATATAACCCCTGACCTTGTAGTGTAGATGGGAGCAGGGTCCAGGTACTCAGCAAACCCCAGGCCCTAAGTCTACATCAGTACCAAACATTCTACCAAGGTGGTCTCAGTGTGTGCTCTAGGTCTCCCCTGATCTGTGCCCAACCCAGCCATCCTGCCAGGACAGCCCTAGCACACAGCACCTCAGGACCCCATCAGGCCTGCACTGCTCCAGCCATCCTTCCAGGGTGGGAAGCAAAGAAGGAACACTTCTGCTTCAGTTCCAGCCATCCCTCCAGGACAGCCCTGTAGGGGAGATGCTCTGAGAACCCCAGCCCATGAATGATTCAGTTCCAACTGTCTTGCTAAAGGCTGATCTGGCTCACAGCATCTTGTGTCCTTGTGGTTCATTTCTACTCCAGCCAGGAGTAGGGTGGCCCTGGTGCAGTATACGCTGGAACCCTCCAGGCTGCATCTGATTCGGTTCTAGCTGGTCAGCCAAACCACTAGGCACATGTAGTCTCCAAAGGGGATGCTCCAATGCAAGGGGACTCAGGATTTGGAGAGGTAGGTGTTCTCCATAATTCACAGGTACAACACAGTTTTAAAAAAATAAACAAAAAAACACTAGACCAAGGAGTTATGTGATGAGCAAAAGAACAAGATACTACATCCCCCACCAAAACCCTAATGAAACAGAGATAAGTCATTTACCTGATAAAGAGTTCAAAGTAGTGGTCATAAAGAAGCTCATACAACTCCAATGAAGAATGGAAGAATAGGGTGAAAACTTCAACAAAGAGTTAGAAAATATAAGAAAGTACCCACCAGAAGTCACAAAGTTGGAGATTATAATAACTGAACTGAAAAATACACCAGAGGAAATCACCCACAGATTAGATGACACAAAACAGGTCAGTAATCTAGAAGAGAGAATGGTGGAAATTACCCAGTGAGAAGACCAAAAAGAAAAAAACTTTAAAAATGACAGTAGTTTGAGACCTCTGGGACACAACATCTAGCATACTAACATTTGCATTATATTGCTCCCAGCAGAAGAAGAGATAAATGGGGCAAAAACCTTTTTTGAAGAAATAATGGGTGAAAAGTTTGCTAACTTGGGGAAGGAAGCAGACAGCTGGGTCCAGATAACACAGTCCCAAACAGGAAGAATCCAAAGAGATCCAAACCAAGACATATTACTAAAAAAATGGCAGAAGTTAAAATCTTAATACAGGAGAAAAACAAACAGTTGCATACAAGGGAAACCTCATAAGAGTACCAGTTGATCTGTCAGCAAAAATGTTGCAGGTGCAAATGGAGGGGTGTACTACATTCAAAGTGCTGAAAGAGACAATCTTATAATCGAGAATACTCTACCTGGCAAGGTAATCATTCAGAATTTAAGGTGGGCTAAAGAGTTTCCTAGAAAAACAAAAGCTAACGTAGCCCATAAATAACTCTAAACTGGCCTTACCAGAAATGTTAAAGTGTCTTCTTTAAATAAAAAAGGCTATAACTAGAAATTATAAAATATATGAAAGAAAAAAATCTCAGTGGTAAAACCAAATATATAGTAAAAGTAGTAAATTAGCCACTTGAAAAGTTACTACTAAAGTTATAAGTAAAACCAACTCTATAATAAGTAGTTAAAGGGTAAACAAAACAAAGTAAAATAAGTCAAAAACAAAGCACAGTGTGGGGAGTAAAATGTGGGACACAAAAACTCATTTGAACTTAAGCAACCATCAGCTTAAAATAGACTACTACATATGTAAGCCAATGTATATGATCTTCCTGGTAACAAGCCAAAAGCCTACAATAGACTAAAAATAAATAAATAAATAAATAAAAAATAAAGAGAAAGGAACCCAAGCATAGCACTAAAACATACCATCAAATCTCAAGGAAGAGACTGAAAGAACTACAAAAACAACCAGAAAGCAATTAACAAAATGGCAATAAGAATATACCTTTCAGTAACTACTTTTTTTTTAAATTAAATTTTATTTTTTATAAACATATAATATATTTTTATCCCCAGGGGTACAGGTCTGTGAATCGCCAGGTTTACACACTTCACAGCACTCACCATAGCACATACCCTCCCCAATGTCCATAACCCCACCCCCCTCTCCCAACCCCCTTCCCCGCATCAACCCTCAGTTTGTTTTGTGAGATTAAGAGTCACTTATGGTTTGTCTCCCTCCCAATCCCATCTTGTTTCATTTACTCTTCTCCTACCCCCTTAACCCCCCATGTTGCATCTCCTCTCCCTCATATCAGGGAGATCATATGATAGTTGTCTTTCTCCGATTGACTTATTTCGCTAAGCATGATACCCTCTAGTTCCATCCACGTCGTCGCAAATGGCAAGATTTCATTTCTTTTGATGGCTGCATAGTATTCCATTGTGTATATATACCACATCTTCTTTATCCATTCGTCTGTTGATGGACATCTAGGTTCTTTCCATAGTTTGGTTATTGTAGACATTGCTGCTATAAACATTCGGGTGCACGTGCCCCTTCGGATCACTACGTTTGTATCTTTAGGGTAAATACCCAGCAGTGCAATTGCTGGGTCATAGGGTAGTTCTATTTTCAACATTTTGAGGAACAAAAGTCGGTGGCATCACAATTCCGGACTTCAAGCTCTATTACAAAGCTGTCATCATCAAGACAGCATGGTACTGGCACAAAAACAGACACATAGATCAATGGAACAGAATAGAGATCCCAGAAATAGACCCTCAACTCTATGGTCAACTAATCTTCGACAAAGCAGGACAGAATGTCCAATGGAAAAAAGACAGCCTCTTCAATAAATGGTGTTGGGAAAATTGGACAGCCACATGCAGAAAAATAAAATTGGATCATTTCCTTATACCATACACGAAAATAGACTCAAAATGGATGAAGGACCTCAATGTGAGAAAGGAATCCATCAAAATCCAGTAACTACTTTTAATGTAAATGGACAAAGTGCTCCAATAAAAAGATACAAAGTGGCAAAATGTATAAACAAATTTTTTTATATATATGTTGTCTATATACTGCCAACTCACTTCAGATCTAAAGACACACACAGACTCAAAGTGAAAAGATGGAAAAGGATTCCATGCAAAGGGGGATGGAAAGACAGCTAGTGTAGCAATATTTCTATCTGACAAAACAGACTTTAAAATAAAGACAGTAACAAAAGACAAAGAAGGGCATTACATAATGATAAAGGGGTTAATCCAAGAAGAGGATATAACATTTTTACATGTTTATGCACCCATCATAGGAATATCCAAGTATAAAAAGCAAATGTTAACAGGCATAAAGGGAAAAATTTACAGTAATACATTAGGGGACTTTAACACCCCACTTACATTAATGGATAGATCATCTAGATAGAATCAAGAAGAAAATACTGGCCTTAAAT